GTGAAGTACACAAATTACTAAAAGTTCAGAATAAGATTTCCAAAACGTAACAAACTGCAGCTTTTCTTCGGACCTGCTTTTCATGCAACACGGTTGGATGTTATGCTGACATATATAAGAAGTCATAAGTACAGGAAGTAACAAACAAGCTGTGGGATCAACTCGCAAATGTTGCAAAAGTTGTAACAACCCCCCCACCCCACCCCTGCCAAATTAACTACGCCACTGTTTTTTGCCATAGACTGAAGACCATCTGCACTTTACCTCCTTGTTCATACAGACTACAGTCCTACTCCTAGCCATGAGATACAAAGTTGGGTTTAGCAAGACACCAGGATGTACAACCATTTTTGTTTACACCAGTGCATGAATCAATTCTACAAACTTCAATTAAACTTACCATGGACCTTGTAGCCGGGACTGGCTCCCCGTGTCGATGCCGCAGTTTCTGTATAAGATACTGAGAGGCAGATTACTACCCCAGTCCATTCACTCCTCCAATTGAAAGGCACACACACTCAATTCCATATTTTGTTTCACTTCCTTCTAATTTTTTTCCAATCCATTGTACCCCAGTTTTAAGGGGGATTATGAGTCAGGTACACGTAGGATTGAAAGATTTCAAGAGAGGTAAGGTATTCTCTTCAAAGGAAGAACTTTACGGACCATATTAGGTCTTTTGCTGACAACACTATCAGCAAATGTAGATTCTTCTTAAGTTCCAACAAGAACCGTTTTGGTGTGATTCTCTAACTTCATGGTAAGAAAAATACTTGTCCAGTGGGAAGTTTTTATGGCACACTGGTAAATGGTTTATCTGAAGAAGTTGATATTTCCCCCTCTTCAAAGTAACGCTCCATTCCTACACACTTTTTTTCCAAGTTTATTTTCTTTTTTATTTCCTTCCTGATTTGAAGTCTGAGTGTGTAGCCTCTCTACAATGTGAGTGAATGGCCTGGTTGCATCATCCACTGAGCAGTCTAACAGCATGGTTCTTCTCCTTTAAACATCATGAATTCTCTGCAGAAGTTACAAGAGTTTGTCTCCTTCCTTTTCTGGGTGTCCATGCTTCCCTTTCATCTATCAGCTAAAACTTGAAATTGACTATGACACAGCTCAATTCCTTTTGAAATACAAGTATCGCACATTCCAAAGATCTTCACTTTTTCCCATTTTCTTTATTTTAGCACGATTTTCTTTTCAAGTTGAGGGAACATGCTTTATCAAAACAGGGTTCTGCTTTTGTTCTTCACATAGATTTTGTTTTAGAAAATCAAAGTTAGTTTTAAATTAACTCTGTGTGCATGCTACCAAAACTATGACTGCCATGATTTGCAAGTGGTTTTCATTTTTCAAAACATTCAAAATTTTCAGTATCATTTAGCTGCTTTATTCAAAAACAACTTCAATTTGATTTTTTTTAGTTTCAACTGTTACATAACCAACTAAATAATCAGTAGATCAAACCAAACAGCAGAAAGATAGCAAGTTTGACTCTGGAGGTTTCCATAATTCATGGGCCAAAATACTGACACTGTATCCTTTGACACTGTAGAATATCTCAGGAAGCATACAAAAATTACCATTTGCAATTTTTTTCAGAGATCTTACAACACGATGTCCGAGAACATAGGAATTGCCAAGTGAGCAATGGCAGAGCAGGCACAGAAGTGTTCTCTCAGGTTGCCATCCCTGGAGCAGTGGACATGTACATCTGCTTGGTAGACAAATTGACCAATTGCCAAAGTTCAGAGGATCCTTACCATGTTGCTGTCTACTGAGGTATCCACAATCACCCAGACTCACAAGATTTCGGGAGGTTGCATACATCACCAACAGCCGATTCACAAGCCAATGCAGATAGCGGGCAACCACCAACCTGTCAGCGTCTGCGGGCAGGGAACACACGTGCACGCACCAGGAGGGCCTGCATGTGGCTGGGCTTTGGTTTTATTTCGGTTTGCCTGGTGATAAAACATAAAAAATGTAAATATTGTTAATAAATTATTTTTCATAAAAATAATCTTTTTAAGCATAATCAGCACTGATGCATGACAATGCAGTCATCTGTAGTTTTCAAATAATTGTCTAGTTCAAGTTAATCTAAAACTTGCCACATTGACAAAGTTTAAACTTCTCGTTGGTTAGTCAAGTATGATGGAAAGGTATGCTAAATTGGATGTCCATCAGCTCATAATAAATGACTGCTTTTATACATCTGCATTGCTCAAAAACTGCTCTCACTGTCAAAATACAACTGGTCCAAATTTCTGCAAACGAGGTTGACTTTTTGATCTATAAACAATGGTCAAGATGCTTGTTATGTTTTTGGTCATCAATGCTGATTACAAGATTAAAACCAGGTGAGAGATGGGTAAACCTCCTTTAAAGATTAAGTACTTTGAATAGTACAATTTAAGAGCTTAAAGTGAGCCAAAATACATACATGTACATGTACTTTGGATTGGCAAACATGGACTTCATATTTCTTAAAAAAGGCTTATCACAAAACATTCCCTTTCCATGCAAATTTTGGGAGCAAGTTTGTAAGCTTAAGAAATATACCTGAATGCTTGATTGAAATTGCAAATAAAAGGGTGATCAGTGAAAGCATCTGAAGAGATACATGTACATGTATCTTCTTTACATTAATTCTTTCAAAACTTTCATCCATTTCCCATCTTTCACCTGGCTTTCAGAAATTTGCCCGTCAGGAACTAACGAATTCAACAAAACACAACAAACCTAAGGTAACCAGCCCTCACATGTATGCTTACGTAAATTTGGTATTCATTTTAAAAGGATTCTTTCTTTTGAAAATGCTAAAACAAAAAATTTGAATCTAGTGAATTTATGAGATCAGATGATATCTTTAATGACTGTAAAATATATATTCATGCTTTGGATAAAAAAGGGTTTTTAGCTCAGAATTTATATGCATCAGTTATCTTTACTCAAAGAATCTGTGCACAGCCATATTAATTAAGTTCTCAGAGACAAAATGTTTGATTTAGACAAAAATTGGACATCTTATCAGAGTGAAGCTATCTTCTTTTGTTCAACTTTAAAGTCTGGCTGGAAGTGAGGACTGGTTAGAAAAGGACGAAATGCAAGTTCCATACATGTAAAAAATGTGATTGGTTTGCTCAGTTTTGAAAGATCCTACCATGAGTAACTACAGGGCATTTTTACATCATTGTGAATTTCAAAAGTACATACATGTACAAATATGCATATATGTACATACTGTACATTTATTGCATCATGGACTACTCCAAATTTCATGGTATGCAATTTCGATTTATACGTCATGTTTATCTCAAAGGTACAAATACTGTTTTTGTCTTAATTCAGACCACTCTGATAATGAAAACAACACGCGGGATCTTTCAAAGCTGAGCCACCTCACTGGACATTTGCCATAAATGTATTTTTTAACCGTGCATCTTACATTATTTCAATAGCTTAGCTCTGTGAATATTGAAATGCCCACAAACTGGCAACTTTGGAGACAATTTCAAACCAAGAACACCAGTGGAATCCAAGCTACCCTTTTTGTGGTACAGGTCAATCATTTTAGTCAACTGAAATCGTGGGAAAATTTGACATTTTTCACGGACTCCTTTGGATGAGGCATTTTGACTGGAAATTGAACATATTTGCTCTCAGTTTGCTTTCAGGTAACATTTGAAGCTATGCCACTGTTTACATCCTTTCTCCATAAAAACTCTTTTTTTGGGTGCCTTTATCTGCATCACTAAAATAAAATGTCTTTCAGTTGGTAGAGTTCCTGATACATGTACATGTAGTAAACCTCTTTATAGGGGTGACATGATATAAAGTCTTTCATCAAAGCCACAGCAGGAGATTGAAATGACATTGGTAGGAAGCTGGAAGCTCATGGTAGTGGAGTGTCAAATGAAGCACAGGTACCACTGAGAGCAGTATGATTCTCATGGGACGTTTGCAGTGATCTGGAGTGTCAAATGAAGCACAGGTACAACTGAGGACAGTACAATACTCATGATAAGCTTGTAGCTAGTAGTGAAGTATCAAATGAAGCAAAAGCACCACTGAGGAGAGTATGATTCTCATGACAAGCTTGTAGCTAGTAGTGGAGTGTCAAATGAAGCAAAGGTTCCACTGAGGAGACCATGAATTTCATGACAAGCTT